CAAATAAATAGTCAAAAAGCCTAATTGTAGCTGAGTTTTTTTTATTTATTTATATCAGAAACTAACGCAAACAGATTTGGCAGAAGTGCATGACTGTGCAGGGTAGATTTGAAATTATAATTTTGCCCTTTAATTTTTGACTAACCCACCAACTTAGCATTTCAATACATAGGGGCAATTTAGTCATTTCATATCCCAACAAATCAATCCTCATGTACTTGCACGACCTCATCACGTCAGGCACAACTTTTTGGGAATAATTTAATTATTTTTTATCTTAATATCATTTCAAACATATTTTTTAATACAATAATTAAACAAAAAATTCAATTTATTTATCTAAACATAAAAATTAAAATAGTCTATTAAAATAGTCAAAAAATTAAAAAGTCTAAAAAATAGTCACTTCTCAAACACCCACTATGTTGTGTTAAGTGAGCAAGCTTGGAGCTTAAAATTTTTTAAAATGACTAAATGTTAAAATCAAATTTGAAATGAGATATGTACTCTTATATAGTACAAGCCTTGCTCGCTCGGTGTTTGTCGGCCGCTTTGTAATCATCTCATCGCACCGTATATATAAATGATTAAAATTAGAGAATATTAAAAAAATAAAAAAAAAACTTTAAGATTTGAACCTTATAATAGAATAGATTTTAAATTTTATTAATTTAAATGCTAATCTTTTAATTTATTTTCAATGTGAACTATTTATCTATTTTTATTAAGTAAAATTATAAAAAAAATACATTTTAATCTTTAAATTCAATAGAAATGGATATTTTAGATATTTTTCGTACATTTATATTAAATTTAATGACTAATATATACACTTTTTTTTTGACTATTTAATATAAATAGACAAATGATTTGAATTGAATTTCATGTGTTTTTGTTGTGTAATTGAGAGCAGTGGCGTGGCCAGAAATTTTGTTCAGCGGGATCAATTATTAGATTTTACATAACCTACAAATATGACGCACGGAAATTCCTCCATAGATCATGTACTAGTGTTCGATACGTGTTCAACACAGTCACGCAATAGGACATGTTAGTAGAAGTGTCCTATTTTTATTTTTATTTTTTTTTCAATCGGTCATGCTAAGGACGCCTGATGTCTCATTTATTATTATTATTATTATTATTATTTATTTTTTATTTCAATCGGATGTCTCATTTATTATTATTATTATTATTATTTATTTTTTATTTGAAGTAGCATACCATGGTTAATAAATTTAATAAAAATAAATATATAATATTTAAATATATGACATTAACATTTACAAGAAACTTTTCAAATTTCATATATTGTCAATTTCATTGACAAAACTAATTACAAGTAATTTACTGTGGTCAATTTATAAACAAATAAGAATTTATCAAAATTAATATATCGTTTCACTGCGGTCAATTTATAAAAATCCCAAACTTCTTGTTAAAGTCCTATATATACTCTACAAAATTTTGAAACTTCACTGGTGTTAACTGATCTTAGTACATTAGGCGTAGCTCAACTCCTGTTTGAGAGCAATGGAGTTCAAATTGTTAGGTGCTTGTTTTGTTTTAATTTTTTTATATATAAATAAAATATATGTCATGTAGTACATTTTATTATTGTGATTGACTTTAATAATAAGTTTCAAAACATTTATATTGGTGTCTAAAAAAAATAAAAAATATATATATATTTATAATTAATGAAAATATCTTAGGGTATAAAAATTTCTCCCGAATGGGACATGACAAACGAGTCCAGATCATCTGCCATACTTTTCTGCCATGCTTTCCTACCGTTGTATACAAAACGACGTCGTTTGATGTTAAACGACGCCGTTTTATTTGGTTTTTTTTTATTATTTTAATTCAAAAAATTTATTTCCCTTGTTTCCCCCCTTTTCTCTTTCTCTGTATCGTCTTCTTCGTCTTTGCACCATCTATTTGAGGCGACTGAACCCTAGCAGCAAGAGAGGCGACTGAAAAGTCGAAGTGAGGAACTGCAAGAGAACTAACGCGAACTGAAAGAGGAAGTGAGAGACGAAAGAGATGGCGGAGATGGAGGATCAACGCGATGGCGAGCAAAGGATCGTGGACGACGGTGAGTCCGGCGGGGGAAGGCGACATTGCGGCGACAACTGTTATATATATATGATATATATATATATATGTATAGGTTTGTTTCAGAAGATCCGGACATTTCAGATTTACTGATTTTAATCTGTTGCCTAGGTGTAATCTGTTAATTCAAATTAACCCATTTCAGATTTTAATCTGTTGCCTAGGTGTAATCTGTTAAGTCAAATTCAGATTTTAATATATTTGATTCAGATTAATTCAAATTCACTCTGTTGCCTAGGTGTAATCTGTTCATTCAAATTAACCCATTTCAGATTTTAATCTGTTGCCTAGGTGTAATCTGTTAATTCAAATTAATTCAATTTTTTTCATATGAAATGGGTTCACTAACTGAAATGGGTTCAGTCACTGAAGTAGGTAAATTTTATGTTCTATATATATAAGTCAGATTTTTTCATATGAAATTTTATGTTCTATGTATATAGTTAATCACATTGATCTATTTTGTGGACAGATTATGTTGTGGACAGATTTCATTTCTTTTTGACAGATTTCACAGGTGAAGAACAAGTATGACCTGACCAACAATAACAATATAAAATAATGAAATCTGTCCACAACATTATAACATAATGAAATCGTTAAGCATAGGTAATTTCAAGTAATGTCATTGACAAAAACAAAAAAGAAGCGCATCATATTCGTCAAACATAGGTAATTCCATTAAGCTTTACATATCAACATTCATAGTTTAAGGTTTACAACATTCAAAACCCAAATACATCCACCAAAAAAAAAAAAAAAAAACAACAACAACAAACAAAAAAACTAACTAAAAGGTTACATTCACATCAGTAGTGCTATTAGCATGGTAAAACCAATCAACACTATGATTGTGAACATAAACAGTTTCATAGCTTCTTGGCTTGCCTCAACTCGTTCCAATCTATTTATAATTTCATTGAGTTTGTCAACATCGTAATCATAGCCTCTTTCATCTTCATTCTTCATATGACTAAGTTTACTTTTCCTTTGGATATTTGATGCATTCCCAGTCGAAGCCGCTCCCTACCCAAAGTACTCGCACATCCTATCTGCACACTTGAAATACAGCCTCCCGGGATTTTTCTCTGATTCCGATATGAACACTGCAGCTTTTTTTCCACAATTGCATATCTTCTATTTTGCAAATATCCAGCATCAATGTTTGAACCCATTGACATGATCCTAGAAAGAGCATTTTATGATACATCAGTCCATTACAACTTAAGACAACATTCAAACAAAGATGTAAAATAAAACACTAATCAATGATATAATAACCATTTGTCTAATCAACATTGTCATTTTCATGTTCATATTCATTCTTAATGTCATATACATAGTTCATGTTTATGTTCATGTTCATTCCTAGTTCATATACATAGTTCATGTTCAAACCAGTAAAATAGCACACTGTTGTTTATATGCATTGTCATTATTCATGTTTTGTTTGACACAAGTAACTGCCCTGTTTATTCATGTTTTGAATAACCATAGTCATTATTCATGTTTTGCTGCTTGAAATGAGAGGAGATTTTCTCCTTGTCCAAAGACAATGGGACCAATATAGATCAAACAGTCCTGCTCTTGAAACCTTTTTCAACTGCCCATTCTCCTCTCTAAAGGCCATTAAAGAGCAAAGAGTCTCCTAAACTTGGTAATACATACACATTAATTGAAAATTGTTTTTGCAGTGCATTTAATTGAAAATTCAGATCAAACAGGACTGTCCAAATTCAGATCAAACAATTCAGATCAAACAGGGCAGTCCAAATTCAGGACTCAAACAATTAAGGACATTCTTTGCAAAAACAATTCAGGACTCTCTTAGATCAAACAGGGCAGTCCTGCTAAAAAATTATTTGATCTATATTAGTCCAGACCAAATTCAGGACTCAACCATTCATTTTCAAAACTCAAAGAGACCAAATTCAGGACTCCCATTCATTTTCAGAACTCAAAGAGACCAAATTCAGGCCTCAACCATTAATTTTCAGAACTCAAAGAGTCAACAGAGTCCAAAAGTATCAAAAATTGAATTCCTCAATCATTCTGTGTCAAAATGAATTCCTCAATCATTCTGTGTCAAAAGTGTCAAATAAAAGGAAAAAAAAATTCATTTTTAATAGTAATGTCGAACCCAGATTAAGGAACCGAACCCAGATTAAGAAAGGCCAGATTAACACAATCATTCTGTTTCTTCATACTGTGGAACCCCCTTCAGGCCCAGATTAATGTCATTATTCCAAAAAATTGGGAATAAAACAAACATTGAATAGATTAACTAGTTCAAAAATTGGGAAAAAATTGAACTAGTTCATATACATAGTTTATGTTCATATACATAGTTCATGTTCAAAAATTGGGAATAAATTCGGAATAACACCAAATCAACAGATTAAAACAAACAAAAATTGAGGAAAAATTGAACAGAAATAACACCAAATCTGTTTCAACAACAAATCCATCAAACTCAACAAAAATCAAAAGCATCTATTGGCCCCAAAATCATATAAAAAAAAGTAAAAAAACACGAAGGGACGAAGGGAGAAAAATAAGAATGAAGACAATCGGACCTCGTCGCCGTCGCCGTCGCCTGCCGCTTTCCCTCGCCTCACCGCTGCCTCTCCTCTCCTCGCTGTAGTTGCCTCTATTCTCTATTCGTCTCACTAGGGTTCAAAGGCTGAAACAAAAGGTCAAAAACGAAAGAAAAAAAAGGCTGAAGCAACATATAAGAAACGAGAGGGAAAAAAAAAATGTCAAAAACGACGGCGTTTTTTACCACGGCAGGGACCATCGCGAGAAAACGATGGCAGAAGATCCGGACTCCTGACAAACAACGTCTATATAAACATGGTGTTATAAACATGGGACAAGTGTAGTGTCCCAACTACCTTTCGTCGTTTGAATGAATCACTTCCCTCATTTCTCTCAGTGCCCAATCAAACCCACACACCAATCTCTCTCTAAATCTCCTATTTCTTCATTTTTTGGATAAAATTCAAACCCATTATCTACCACTATCTTCTCTCTCTCTCTCTCTCTCTCTCTCTCCGACTAAAGCACCAGTAGTTGAAAAACTCGTGCCCACAACAGCACCCCAAAATGGTAGTCATCAAAGCCGGAAGTAGACCGCCGTGGGTGGGTCTCAGCGCCGCCGTGTGGGTCGAAATCGCCGCCGGAAGTGGGTATACCTTCGCTTTATACTCCACTACTCTCAAAACTGTTCTGGGTTTCAATCAACAACAGCTTACAATTCTTGGAGTGGCCAATGATATTGGAGAGAATGTGGGTATTCTTCCTGGGATCGCCTGCAACAAATTCCCACCTTGGGCCGTTCTTTGTGTTGGTGTTTCTGCTTGTTTTTTGGGGTATGGTGTTATTTGGCTTGCTGTTAGCGAGACTGTTCAGTCCATACCTTATTGGGTGGTAATGACTCTCTTAATTCTTCTTTTTTTCCATGACTTGTTCAGCTTTTACCCATTTTGATTTGATTGCCTTGAAATATTGGTTTTGTTGATTGATTGGGTATATTGAGTTAATTTTGTGTCTTTCTTGTACTTTTGGCAGTACCCTATTTGTTTTGAACTACTTGATGGCGATCTCATTTCCTGTAATTTTGGGAACACTGACTTGTGGGATCATAGTTTAAGAGTGATTATTGAACTGGGTTTGTTTGGAAATGGGGGTTTCATTGCTTGAAAAAGTCTAGTAGCATAGAATTCAGTCACACACAACCAGACACAACCCTCTCATATGAGGTGGGTCCCATCTTTTCGTGGATCATACAGCCACGGGAGAGGGTGGTTTATGATTCTATGATTAATTTCTATACAAGTAGAAGAGCTGTCGTTTATTGCTTGATTCTGTCTTTAAATGGGAGATTTTACTGATTCTCTACCAAATTTGATGTCTTTTGGAGTTAAATGTTACTTGCCGATCGGTGACATCACATGTCTTTTCCGTGTTTGTCTATGGGTCTTATTTCAAGCATGAAGTTAAATGGTTTTCAAGTTTGGTGATTTTTAATTTTCTTTAATTGCTTTTCTGTTTATCTGACTTCTTTGGAATCATTGGACCATATGTGGAATTTGCTGAACCTTACATTATCACTTACACTCTGGAAAAATTGCTGTATCCAATTGGGATTGTCCCATGTTTTTTTTCCTCCTTAATCTAAATGCTAAAGAGATATCTATAGTTCCAAGGCTTGCATAATGAAAATTGGTAGACATTCATGTGCTTCCTCAAGACTTATGGTTGTCTTGGACATGATGACATGGTTTCGTTCAAATAAATTTAGCCATCAAGAGCCAGTGGGCCTTTTCTATGGGAACTGATTAGTGTCACAATTATGCTGATCTTCAAAACTATGCTTGTTGAAAATTTGTTAGATTAGTTTTCCGATTCTTGTCCTTTAGACTTCTCCAGCATTGATGTTCAAATTTCAAGTCAATTAGGTCTTCATGGCTGTTTTCTTTATTTCACTGTAATCACTATGATAATGAAACAAATGACTGAAATCCTAATATCCTTTTAAAGTGTTGGTTTTCTGGAAACTCTTAAAAGAAATGTACGTGTTTTCACTGGAAAAGGATTTTATTAGCATCCCTAATTAAACTCCTCCGCCTGTTTGTTCTGCAAATTATTACTAATTTGTTTTGTTTCACACTTGCATGTCTTACTCCCTTGAGTTTGCTTTTTGATTTAGAGTCTTGGACTTGTTAACTGTTTCCCTTCTGAATTCTGATATTGAAATATAAACTTTTAATCCAAGTACTTGATGCTGTGGTAGTTATGGATTGCACTTTGTATTGCCACCAATTGCAATGCTTGGTTTGGCACAGCCGTGCTTGTAACCAACATGAGAAATTTCCCTCTCAGTAGGGGCACAGTTGCTGGCATTCTCAAAGGATATGTTGGTCTCAGTGCTGCTGTATATGCAGAGGTGTACAGTATAGTTCTCAACAACTCTGCTTCAGAACTATTGCTATTCCTTACTATTGGGCTTCCAATTATATGTTTGGCAATGATGTATTTTATTCGATCTTGTACCCCGGCTTCCGGAGAAGATTCTTCCGTTCACGTCCATTTTCTGTTCACCCAAGCTTCAAGTATCTGTCTTGCCGTCTATGTTCTCACAACCGTGATATTGAAAGCTACATTATCTCTAAGTAATGCCATCTCCTACACGTTTATTGCTATAATGATTATTTTGCTCATGTCTCCTATTGCAATTCCCATCAAAATGACATTGTTCCCAGCAAATTCCAGGACACTGGGCCCACCTGTTGGTTCTTCAGATGATTTGGTTTCAGGAGAAGGTGATGCAAACCAATTAGATCCTTTGTTGGTACCATCTTCGCCAGAAACAAATCTTGGAAATTTTCTTGAAAGTGACTATACTTCAGATGTCGATATGCTTCTAGCTATGGGAGAGGGAGCGGTGAATAAGAAAAGGAAGCCCAAAAGGGGGGAGGATTTCAAGTTTCGTGAAGCTATTATCAAGGCCGATTTCTGGCTTCTATGGCTGGTATACTTCCTTGGGGTTGGTCCTGGAGTAACCGTTCTCAATAATTTGGCACAGATTGGAACTTCGCTAGGTGTGGATGATACAACAATATTGTTATGCCTCTTCAGCTTTTGCAATTTTCTAGGACGCCTTGGGGGCGGTGCTGTCTCTGAACATTTTGTAAGGTAATTATTTTATTTTATTTTATTTTTTTTGGGGGGGGAGGGGGGAGGTTGATGATAAATCAGTGTAGTGGTGGTAATGTTTTGGCTTGCTTAATAATTTGTAGACCATATCAAAATGTCATGAATTCTTGGATTTTCCAACTAATTGATATCTTATACTTGACTTTTGGAGGATATCACTTGATTGTACCTGTACGAAATTCAGTGTTACTCCAAAAGATAATGTAATTACTCCCTTTTCTTTTGGTTAACCTAACAAGTACAAATTTTTTGCTGCTTTTGTCCCTGTAGTTGGCTTCCTGATTTTCTCAGAATGTTTTGTCAATTAGTGACAATGTCCTTAATGTTTGCATATTTCTGTATGCCAAACATGATGCTTATGCTTTTTGGTAATTTCACACTACTGATCTGATACAATTATGTCATTGCAGGTCAAAAACGATTCCCCGAACAGTTTGGACGGCACTCACACAAATAATTATGATCATAACGTTTCTTCTTTACGCGTCAGCTCTCAACGGTACCCTTTATGCTGCAACTGCGTTGCTTGGTATCTGCTACGGTGTTCAGTTCGCTATAATGATTCCAACTGCTTCTGAGCTTTTTGGTTTGAAACATTTCGGTATAATATACAACTTCATGCTGCTTGGCAATCCCATTGGTGCGCTTCTCTTCTCGGGTCTGCTTGCTGGTTATGTATACGATGCTGAGGTGGCAAAGCAACAAGGGTCCACTTGCTTGGGTCCCAATTGCTATAGGCTCACATTTTTGGTACTAGCCGGCGTATGCGGGCTCGGCACGATCTTGACTGTTATTTTGACAATCAGAATAAGGTCGGTCTACCAAATGCTTTATGCTGGGGGTTCTTTTCGCCTGCCTTCAAGCCACTGAAGCTCGGAGATTTTGGTACTTGTAGTAGCTTAAAATCAAGGATACTAGTTTTACAGAGGCACATAATAAATTTTCACTTTGTGCTCTGCACACAGGGCAACAGAAGCGGCTTGTGTGCGGTATGTTTCATTTTTTTGCCTTAAAATACTTGAGCTTTGCTTTTAAAGCTTCTATTTCTCTATTGTTTGTTTGTAACTGTTTTGATTCATACAAATCTGGCAGAGATTCATAGGGAAACCATAGGGGAATAGAATTATCCCACTTTGTTTCGCATACTATGTTAAATAAATCTTCCAATTTATTACTTGTAACAGGATCTTTCATATCTATATACTGCGAGTTTATTCTTAGTTCATGTTTTATGCAATTATGACCTGTTGATGGTTACTTCAATGGATTTGAATTCATAGTGTCCTGTTATCAAAAGAATTTGAATGAAAATAACAAAAGCTACAAAGAATTGTTGGTCCTCTTGGCCATTCTAGCACACTTCGATTTTTCTGTGCACGTAGTGTTACTGATGACATGTTATGAGTTGGTGCTTTCTTTCTACCAAAAGATGAAGACATGTGAACATGCAAACAGACCCTAACGGTGCTAAAGTGGGATTTTACGAACCCAACTCTAAAGAAAAAGATAAAAGAGTCTTCAAGCACACAAAATCCAAAACTTTGGTGCAAGCAACCATAAAAACACCATCTCTCACCATTGAAATTAAGAAAGCAGATTAAAAAAGAAAATGATAACAATCCTCAGTAGGCTTCAAAGTTCAAATCCTGAAACATGGTATCACTAGAAATGTTAGGAGCACATAAGCAAACACCAAAACCAATGATAGATATGTGAGTGTCTGCAATTGGTTCTGTCGTTTATTTGTGTCCCTTCACTTGTTTGGGTTCATCCCTTACAGTCTCCAATTATCAAAAGACGTTGAATGAAGATAACAAGAGCTAAAAAGAACCATATAGACCTTAGTACTAGTCCTTTTGGCAATTCTAGCTCAATGATTTTCTTCACAAGATTGTATCAATTGGTGCTTTTAACAAAAGATAAAGACAATATGAACATAGAAATGAAACAAACCCTAATGGTAAAGTGGGATTTTACACTATGACCCACCGTTCAAGAAAAAGATAATAATACAGGTTCTTTTAAAACACACACAGCCAAAACTCTCTGGTGGAAGAACCATAAAAACACTATCTCTCAGAGCAATCCTCAAGTAGGCTTCAAATCCTGAAACATAGCATCCCACCTGATCTCTTCAACACCGGTTGACCAATACGGATCATCATCATCTTCATCATCCATCTTTTCATCATTACGAAGATCATTAACCATTGGGCTTGAAAAACTGTTCAACCTTGGACCAGACATGACCATAGGGCTACCATTTGTGAGCAAGAGCATAGGCCCCTGCTTAGACACCACCAACCTCTTGTTTCTCTTCAACATAGCTCCTTTCCACCTCAAACTGTGGCTACGCCTTGGCACGAGGACTAGCGCCGAGTCTTGATCGCGATGAACCCAAGTCCTAACATACTTGGAAAGATACCGCTTTGTTCGCTTGATCGCAAAGATCAGTCTCGACATGGAATGTGGGCTGCCGGTTCCCTTTTCTTTCCTCACTAGTTTGAGGATCTCTAGCCGGTGTTTGGCTATGGAGATACCCATACTCTGGAGAAACTCATGGTTGAAGTAAGCTATGTCGTCTTCTTCGAGCTCGTTGTGAGAAAAAGAGAGGCCATATTCATAAACAAGGGAAGGTTCAAGGCCAGTTTTTGATAGCCAAGAGAACCAGTCCATGGTTGGAACTGGATACGTGTGCGATGTGGGTGTGTTTGGTTGTGTTAGTTATGAGATATGGGTATATACATATATAAAGTATGAGCTAGAGAGGCATTGAAAAGAGAGGTGGTGAAGTTGGTAAGGGTAAACTTGACTTTTTCTTTGGTTTTGCTTTGATTAAATGGTTGGTTGTGACTTGAGAATGACAAAAGGAAAAAGAATGGGGTCTTGGGTCTTTTGAGGCCATGTTCCCTCCAAATACAATGATTCTTTGGACACAATTAATCAAAGAATTGACTAGAGAAAATAAGAGACTAGAGCCATATGAACAATAAAAAGTGAAAAGAGCTTCTCTCCAGTCCACCGTCGTAACTTGAACGTGCAGTTTGGCCTTGTGAATTCATTATAAGCTCCACTTTTACGATTTAAACTATTTATTTTATAGTTCTATATGTGTAGATCATTCGTGAAAAAAAGTAATAAATTTATTTGACAATTATAAACATAACATTTCAATACATTTTTATGCAAAAAATGAATGAGCATTGAATTTAAAAATATCCTTTTTTTTGGGTAAAAAATGTAATAATTGTGAATACGATTATCAAATTATTTTATATTTTTTTATGCATATCTATGCTAAGGGATCTATGAAATAAAACGATTTGAACCACGTCAGTGAGGCTCATGGGGCTGGACTGCATGTTTAGTCTATAATAGTGGAATAGAGAGAAGCGGGCTTCTGAAATTAATACATAATGATGCAACAAATAAAAGATCTATCAAAGTGATTTATATTTGAAATAATATCATTATCGTATCATTTTTGTCTAAAATTTTGTATAAAATTTTTCTAAGAATATCATTTTTCAAAAAATAATTATGTTTTTACACTTTAAATGATGTGATCCGTCATTGAAAAGAAATCTCCACACATTGTTCTAGCTTTATTTTCTATGATCGATTTTGTGATTTATTGCTTAAAAAAAAAATGTCGTATGATATCAAAACTATTGAAGAGTAGTGAGAAGTAAGGAAAGTAGATTGGCATCAATCACGGCTAGGAAAAAGGTAGTGTGTGGGTCAGCCCCCACTACATGTGTTTTGATGAGGGTTTGAAGGAAAAATGAATCAACTCAAAGCAAAGCAATCAAATTTCAAACTAATTAACCATTTCGTGTGCATATGATTAGGGGTTTGATTTGTTCTAATTCTAAAGCAAGCAAAGCCACCCCCTTCAGACCACTATGTTACCAATCATTTCGGCATTTGTTCTGTGAAAAAAGACAAAAAAGAATTTTGATTGTTAAAAATTTTAGAGGGGTGATCTCCTGTTTTCAAAAATCTCTTTACTGTAGTATTAGTTGTTAATTATTTTTATATTATATAGATTCATCCCTATAGGCTTTTTAACAATTTTGAAGTGTTTGGCTTCTAAATTTTAAAAATATTTAAGCATATGCCTCTATATCTATGAAACATGAGATTAAATTATATAATAACAAATTTTTGTTTTTATTTTTATAACTAGTGTTAATTATACATCCTAGTCTGTGGAGACGATGGAAAAAAAAAAAAACCCAAAAAAATAATCAGTAAATTACTTAATAACATTAATTTCTTTGGTCTAGCCATGCCCGTACCATTATTATCGCAACTACCAATACCATCATTTTAAGCATTGCAACCAAATATTAAAAGGAAAATGTCTCGTTTTGGCCATTTGAGCCACTTTTGAGCCACAAAATTTGAGCTACGTAGCATTGTCGATATTAAAAATATTAGTTTACAAAATATATTTTATATTAAAATATTTTTCATCAAAACAATAGAAATATTAATCTCATTTGATATTAATGTAAGGAATATCCTTCTTTGGCAGGTCAATAATCCCTTGTGTCATTATCATTTGGTTATTTAAATTAAAAAAGATTGATTATGCTATCCAACCTAACTCTTTGTTTTGGAATCCTTGTAAATTACTTTTCCCATTTTATTTCGAAATAGAAAATTGTGACAAGAAGTGTTGAAAAATTTTACACGTAAATGGGAATTGATTCCATTGAATGAAAGGGTGCAATTTTTTATAGTGTCTCTTCATATGAAAATGTCTGAACTCAGGAGTCATGACTCTTTTAAAGATTATGAAAACTTCTATAAATATCATCCCCGTGGCATTCATTTGTTAAAAATGTGTTAGGATTCATACATATATCATAGTCAAATATAATAAAGAGAGTGCATAGCACAAATCGGGTCACGATACACACAGAAAGTTGTACAATTTTTGTGTGAGAATATAAATTTTTGTGTGGGGGTATAAATTTTTGTGTGGGGATGATCGTTATATCCTTCTATTAATTGCAAGCACCAGAGACGAAGGCGAATTTCTATCTTAAAGACACAATATTCAAACACTGATCTAGATCACAATCTGTATTAAGTTTACAAAATTTTAGTAAGAAATTTCTTGTATTTTATTTTTATTATTTATTTGAACTAAATTGATTTTCCAAAAATATTTTTCGACATTAAGGTCTCATTAACCTCTTTTTTTGTTTTTTATTTTTTGTTTTCCTCTTTTAAATTCATTTTCATGACAAAGCTTTTGAATATGACAATTAGACAATGAAAAGCTTGGCTCAAATTTTTAAGGAAAATCTACTACTATAGGCCTCCTTTGAAAGTGTGTACCATATATGCTCTTAATTATTTTATTTTCTTCTTTAGGTATGGGTAATTTTTTTTTTAATTATTACAATATTTTAATTATAATTTGTGAGATCTTTAGTTATGTCTCATGTGGTGTTTGGTTGTAATTTTTTTAAAATTTATGACTCAAAAAATATAAAATTATACTATTTTTTTTAATTATAAAGTATATATAATACGCACCATTTAAAGAGTGTGTATCATAACCTTTTCTAATTTTTAATTACAAAAATAAATAACCTCTGAAAATATAGAAGCCATATATTTGACTCGCAATCCACTTTCTCTAGGAATAGAAAAAGTGGGTGGGCTTAGAAAATAGAAAAATGTATATAAAGTTTTGTTTGAATTGCCTTTTATTTGTATTAGGTTATGTCCACCTTCACCAAATAATTTCCCAATGATAATAACATCAACTAATTAACATATGCAACCTAAGATGATCTCATCTTGAGCTGAACGATTAAACACTATTCAATCCCTGCATGTAAGCCAGACTAGACTCCCAGTCTTTCAATTAAGAGTGTACAAGAGAGGTCAATTGAATTATTAAATTTCTAAACTCAAAATTGATTTTAAAATTTTCTAACCTAAACGAATCAATCATTGTCAATTTCAAATTCTTACACTCAAAATTGAATCTCTTAGATTAGTTTGGATTGGAACCATGATTATGAATCGTTCATTGAAAACATATAATCTAAAAAAATTCAATCTTGCATCATCAAAAACAATTTAAAAGTTAAATTAACAATAATTTATTAAAATAAACAAGTTTTGAGTATTCTAACATAATACCAAAAACATATTGTATTACATGTTAATACAAGCTAACAACCACCAACAATCATTCATATTTTGTTCTACCAAGTAAAATCAAAACGATGAAAATTCAATAGCAAACATAATAATTTATGGGAGCTTTTTCCATAAATCCATCTTTAATTACTTATATTTTAATTAGTCCAAAATTTATTTTAATATTCGACTTAGGGTTGGTTTGGGATGTTATAAAAAAGTGCACTTTTTGACTTATTAGCTTATATAGGTTGGGTTTGGGTTGGGTTTGATGTGATGTGTTAGAGAGGTGATGTGATTTAAATAAGATGATGTGACTTAAATAGGATAGTGACTTTTTGACTTTTTGTATTATTTAGGTTATGCCAAACTTGGCCTTAGTCCTATCCTAGGTAAAAAGACGATATTACCCTTATGTTCATATCAGATCATAGGCGCTTTTTTTCTTTCAACTTTACAATTTTGTTTTTCTCCAAATTAGAACCCTAATGTTGAACTCCTTCTTGTTCGACCAAAACCTTACGATCGGTGAGTTCTGTTCATTCCGGCACCAAAAATCACGAAATACTGTTCATTCCGGCAACATTGATTGCCAAGAACAATCCATTCTGGCAACTGAGATCGCCGATAACTGTTCATTCCGGCAACTGCGATCCTCACTCCAATCGATATCTACAATGGTGAACAAAAGTAAGTTGTTTTCTTCAATTTTATACTATTTTCTGATATTAAATCCACTAGTTCATATTCTTTTATTAAAATCTGAATATTCACATTTCAATGTTTAATGTTTAATGTTTATTGATTCGACATTTAGCCTTTGACAATTACAAATTATAATTTTCTTCTTTATGAATGCTTTGTTTTTCATGTCACATTTATGAATGATCTGTTTTTCAGCTTTAGTGTTTAGGGACTCAACATTTAGGAATGTTTATGAATGCTCTGTTTCTCATTGTGAATATTTGAAATTCTGTTTTCCAACGTTAACATTTTGTGTTTCAAGTATGAATGTTGACATTGTAAATGATTGGAGTCTATTTCCATTGCTAGAACAATTTTGTTGAGTCATATTGTTGAGATTACAATAGACTCAAAACACCATTGTTAGTATTTGGAATTTGTTTTAACATTTCATTGATTATGTTGAGTGAATTGTCACATTGCTAATATTTGTGTTTGAAATATGAATCTTCTCATTGTGAATATTTGGAGTTTGTTATCCATGTTACATTGATTATGTTGAGTCACATTGTCAAGGTTTTCATTTGACATTCATGATTGAAGTATAAGTCTTCCCATTGTGAATGTTTGGAGTCTAATTTTCATGTTACATTGAAAATGTTCAATTATATAGTTGATATTCTAATATTCACATTTTTCATTCACAATAATGTGCTAATTGTTTTTGAGTAGGAATTTTCTCATTGTTAGTATTTTGAGTCTAATTTTCACGCCACATTAATTATGTTGAGTGAATGGTCACATTGTCAAGATTTCATTATTAACATTCGTGTTTGAAGCATGAATCTTCTCATTGTGAATGTTTAGAGTTTGTCATGCATGTTACA